ATTCCACTACATTTCAATTATCATATAAAGATTCACGTACATTTCAATTATCATATAAAGATTCCCCTACATTTCAATTATCATATAAAGATTCCCCTGCATTTCAATTATCATATAAAGATTCCCCTGCATTTCAATTATCATATAAAGATTCCCCTGCATTTCAATTATCATATAAAGATTTCATTACATTTCAATTATTAAATGAAGATTTTCATACAATCCAATTAGCTGCTAACAATTGCTTATAACTTTAACATGTCTTTTGCACGTGTTGTTTGGTGACCAATTATGCTAGCCGCACACTATCCGATTTTGCACTATGCACAGCACTAAGCCCCCGCACACTATACGACGCACTCGCGATCAATCGGGAGGCCACCGCACACTGTCCGACTCAAAGTTGACGCAAACCATGGCACTCTCGTGGCGTTCCCAGCAGATTTAGCGTGTACTAAGGGTCGGGAGTGTTTCCCATGGTTCGAATGCCATTCCATTCGAATGCGGTTCCCATGGCGCTGCTCTGTGATTGGTCAATTTTCTTCAGCGCACGCCGATCGGGTCGGATGGCCACGCACACTATCCGAGCGGGCCCGTACGCCGTGCTATTGGCGCGAAAAAAACCTATCGTTCGCCTCTAGCATGACGGCACGCTTGGCTAGGCAGATATGTGTATACATTCACGTTCACTGTCAGAGCGACGACCCGATCCTGTTCCCCGATTCAAAAATTCGATTCGGGCCAAAATGAGCCTCGCAGAGCCAATCCTTAAGCCTTCCGCGAGTAAACCTAGAACATCTCGCTCCAATCGTAAGCCTTCAAATCACGCTCGGGTCGGATAGTGTGCGGCTAGCATAAGTCTGCGTAGACGCAGCGTCGCGCGGCTACATGATGTTACAGGGAGTTGGATAAGCGGGTTTTAGATTAGGCAGTTTCGAGAGTCAGTGTGAAATAGGGGTAGGCAGCGAGTCTGAAGAGAACGGGTGACAGTGCTGCGGCGCTCAGGCAATGTAGGGAGTTTTGGGAAATATATAGGGAGAGATGTAACAGTAGGGGATTGGGATTCGGGTTCTGGGCTCGGAGGCTGAGCACAGGCGCGCGTATGCGCGGTAGTGCGCTGTGTTTTTGTCTCTTTGTGAACGATGTGACGACACTGTGTATGCGTTATTAAAGATTATTCCGGTTACAACAACAAGTTTGACTTTATATCTACATTCCTGTTTACATAACCTCTCATCCCTGAGCAGCACCCTGAAAATAATGGAAATCCGAAATGCGTGAAATTGTCGTGCAGACTGCAGACGTAGCAGCGAGAGATTTCTACCTGACACAAGATGCAGAGATTGAGAGCCAGACTGAAGCACAAGGAAACGTATTACCTTTGGAATGTGTGGCAGCGTTATGTAGGTTTTCGGTGGGTACTTGCTGAGGCCTAAGTTCGTATCGACCCCTGCAATGGAAACGAACTTGAGAAATCTTTGCCACCCCAGTGATAAGGAAGCATGGCTCAGTTGGATTGGCTCAAACACGAGCATTAACTGCCAACTGCTAAAATAGACACTTGGGTCTTTTTCCTTTCGTGCCGCAGATTCGCAAATAAATCATCATGCTGCTACATTGCGTAAGTCTATGTAACTACACAACCATTCGTCACACTATCGCTATCTGTCAAATATTTTTGCACACTAATAG